GCGAGGGTGCGGGGCAAGCCATTTTGTTACCATTTCGTGACGGAGTTCGATAGGTGGGTGAGGTGGCTGTGTTACGCATTTGCTTCGGGGACTGATTCGGGCAAAGATTGCTGTTGAACATCGGCTCGTTGTTATTGAGCTTCGCGTTAGCGGAATTGGGAGACAGGTTTCCAACGAACTTCTTCTCGCCGTCGACCGATTGCGGGCTGTGCGGGGACGATGATGAACCGTTGTTGTGCGCCTCCCTCGGGGGAGACGTCGACTCTCTCATAGCATGACTCCTCACCAGCAACTTCACTTTCGTACTCGTCTAAAAATTATATTTCACGTTCGTGCTTTAAAATTTCGCCATCGCGAAATCCATCCGGAAAATTTCGTTTTCTTTCTTTCTTTCTTTCTTTCTTTCGTTCGTTCTTTCTCTCTCTCTCACAGAATCTTCACAGACACACGCACACGTACACACAACACGTACCCTGTTGCGAAAGTTTTTGTTCTCTGTGTCCGATTTGTTGTCGGGGGGGCAGGAGGGTGTGCCGCCACGATGGTGCGAATTCGATGCGGGAGAGGAGCCGACATTCGGATTGGCATTCCCGTCCAACATATCCGGCTCCGTGCTGTTCTGATACGACGCGTTCGAGCCACTCGCGACGAAGCCTTGCCTGGAGGACGGCAGTGTGGGCATACCTCCTCGCACCACCACCGTGGGACTGTCAGGTCGGCTGTGCGACCTGCTGCCTTTATGCACCACTATACTTGGTACTGGAAACAAAACCCACTTATCGTATCCTTTTCGTATCTTTTCAAGCGTCTTTAAGTGTCTTGGCATGCCCAGATTTTTAAAAGAAAACGAAAAAAAAAAAAAAAAAAGCATTTTCATTCCGCCCATCCGATCCGTATTTCCGTCCCAATACAATTTTCTTTGATCCGAATCGGCAACGTACGTAAGGTGTAAACGGAAACGAACGGATTAATCTCTTGGAAATATTTTGTCTGCGTAACGAATTAAGATTTGGAAAGAGAAGCGAAAGGGAGCAAAAAGAAAGAGATAGATAGATAGAGAGAGATAGATAGATAGATAGATAGATAGATAGATAGATAGATAGATAGATAGATAGAGAGAGAGAGAGAGAGAGAGCGAGAGAGAGAGAGAGCGAGAGAGAGAGAGAGCGAGAGAGAGAGAGAGCGAGAGAGAGAGAGAGCGAGAGAGAGAGAGAGCGAGAGAGAGAGAGAGCGAGAGAGAGAGAGAGCGAGAGAGAGAGAGAGCGAGAGAGAGAGAGAGCGAGAGAGAGAGAGAGCGAGAGAGAGAGAGAGCGAGAGAGAGAGAGAGCGAGAGAGAGAGAGAGCGAGAGAGAGAGAGAGCGAGAGAGAGAGAGAGCGAGAGAGAGAGAGAGCGAGAGAGAGAGAGAGCGAGAGAGAGAGAGAGCGAGAGAGAGAGAGAGCGAGAGAGAGAGAGAGCGAGAGAGAGAGAGAGCGAGAGAGAGAGAGAGCGAGAGAGAGAGAGAGCGAGAGAGAGAGAGAGCGAGAGAGAGAGAGAGCGAGAGAGAGAGAGAGCGAGAGAGAGAGAGAGCGAGAGAGAGAGAGAGCGAGAGAGAGAGAGAGCGAGAGAGAGAGAGAGCGAGAGAGAGAGAGAGCGAGAGAGAGAGAGAGCGAGAGAGAGAGAGAGCGAGAGAGAGAGAGAGCGAGAGAGAGAGAGAGCGAGAGAGAGAGAGAGCGAGAGAGAGAGAGAGCGAGAGAGAGAGAGAGCGAGAGAGAGAGAGAGCGAGAGAGAGAGAGAGCGAGAGAGAGAGAGAGCGAGAGAGAGAGAGAGCGAGAGAGAGAGAGAGCGAGAGAGAGAGAGAGCGAGAGAGAGAGAGAGCGAGAGAGAGAGAGAGCGAGAGAGAGAGAGAGAGAGAGAGAGAGAGACGTAAGATCGTGAGCGTGAATAACACTTACTCTCCAGGCGGGCCATGTGTTAAATGCGTCATGGGGTTACGGTGCAGACTCTGCAACTGGTGGGTTCAAACAGGTGCAACTGGGTTAGTACGTGAATCTTTCGGGTGGCGTGCAGCTCGTGGGGCTGATACAAGGAGCCAAATCACTGCACGTCCACCTTCCAACATCGTACACTCTGTAAGCAGATACAACACAACGAGTCATGACTTTGTAGGGAAAAAAAAAAAAGAAAGAAAGAAAGAACGAGGGGGGAAAAAAGACGTGAAAATTTGATTACGTATCGTTGAAAATAAAAAAAAAAAAAAGAAAAAACGTTAATACTTATGGATACTTCTCGATCTTTCAAGATTCTTTGAGTTAATCGAATATTTGTTTGTTGATCAGAGCTTTTACAATTTCGTGCATGCAAGCGGTGTTACACGTGACAAAAAATTAAGCGAGAAATAAAAATTTCTTCTCTCGAACAGATCGAGAAATAAAACTTTTTTTCACAAGTTGTTTGCAAAAAATTATCGTATACGTGATTACATTTAAAATCGCAAACACCATAGGTACGAAGGTGTTATGGCGGTAAAAGCATCAGTTTATCGAAGATTACGAGAGATTTATAAATTCGCGAGTATCTCAATAGAGATATTTCCCTCCTGCGCTTCGATTTGTATATATAATCGTCTATCTCTATATATACGGTGAAAAGGGAAAAAAACGATGTCGAAGGAAGGAATCGGCGTGGTAAAACCATAACCAACCTCCAGAGACCAATCTCCATGACGATTAATCGACAAAGAGCAAGAATCATTGCGACGAAGTGAATACTCGAAGGCAACGGTTATTTCTTCGTTTGAGACATCCTTTTTTTCCTCTCTTTTTCTCTTTCTCTCTCTCTCTTCTCTCTTGATCAAAACCAAACTTTACTCTCACTGCGTTACACGAAAAATCCTGCACAATTCACTATTCGATCATCGTTGAAATCTATTTCCTTTCACACGTATATATATATATATTCACGATTAATTTTCCCAAGTTTCCCCGAAGTTATACTTGTCACGCTCTAGAAATTAACAGAGAAAAAAAGATGAGAATCAGCTCGAGAGAGGGAACGACGATCATTCGACGAGTTTTTCCCCATTCGAACTCGATAAGTGCATTTCAGATAGGTCAGTTCTCGAGCTTCACGGATAAAACACAGAGGGGAACGCGTTTGCAATAGGACACGTAACGAAATTATCGTCAAGACGCGAGAACGATTTGATTTTTTTCCCTCTAAGCACAACGGCATGCAACGCCAGCCCACGATTCGATCTTTCTTAAATTCAATTCGACGGAAGGTTAATGCGGGTCAATGCGGGTCCAGGGATCGATCAATCAGGGATTCGATCGCTCGCCAGATATAGATCGCTCGAACGATTCGACTCGATCATCATCTTCATTCTTCTCTGTTATTCTCTCCTCCTCCTCCTCCTCCTCTTCCTCCAAATTAAATTAAATTAAATTAAATTAAATTAAATTAAATTAAATTAAATTCACGAGTGCACGAGAATTACTTTTTCTTTTATGCAACGTACGCATAAAACAAATCTCGAGATCGAAGATGTACGTGAGCAAGAGATGCCCAACAATTCGCAGGATCCATC